CGCTGCGGAGGTGGTATCCCTCCTGTCTCTGCCTCCTCTCCAAGCAGGAAGGCTGTGGACTCTTCTTCAGCATCAAACTGCCTGCAATCCAGCATCTCTCCCTGTCGCTCCCGCATAGGCCCAAGCTGGTCAGCTTGCACTGCTGCTGCAGGTGCCGACGAGGAGGGCTCCTTGACCGACGGTACTAAGCCTAGGGTCACTTGACTGCACCGCTGCTCCTGCCTGGGAGGGGGTGCCTTAAATCTGCTAGATTAGGCCAATGCTCTAAACCTTTTGGAGAGACTGCCGAAGCCGATTGTTTTGAGCCAGGCCTTGCCATCCTTACTAAGACGCCTGACGCACTGTCAGGCGAATCGAACAAACTTCTCTACTCCGTGCGTTCCACACAGGCGGCAAAACCAGAGACCTCGGTAGCAAGCCGGTGCGAAACATCGATGTGGATGGGCCGCCCCAATCAAGGCGAGGCCGAAAACTCTTCCGACGGTCGCTTCCCCGAGGTGTCCAGGCAGGCCTTGCATCTTCACTATTTAGAGGCACGGTTACATGAGGAGAGGATCGAAGCGGAAAAAGCTGTTCCTGCGCTCTGGTTTTAGCTTGACCTACAGACCTAGAATGCAAATCAGCTTTTAGAGTGGTCCCGAAATAATCATTGGCGATTCTGGCCACCTCTAGGGCCACCGCTATCAGGAGGTGCCTCTGCGACCTCCAGGCCAACTTGTCAGCCGTCGTAACTTGGCCTGCCAGGCAATACCGGACCGCGGTTTCCTGGGCAGCTCTGTCCGCCAACTCATCCGTTTAACCAATGCTCCAACTGCCAACTGGAGTCCTGCCCCTACTGCTGACCGGTAGAGATGGTTTTTTACCTTGACTAGCGTGAACCTCACGCTCTCCCTCTGCTTGTCAGTACTGTGCCCAAAGATCCGCGTTGCCCCTATGCTTCCAGGTGCGTCCTCTTTTGATACCCTGTTCTGCGCAGGAAGCGTCAACAGTGCACGTGGCATCACATGACGTGGCCTGGAGCGCACTGAATATTGCTAGGAGTTCGGGACCCCTGCCTCCAGCCAGAAGACACGGCGCCACGATTGGATGCCAGGACCGCCTCAGCCCTGCAAAAGGCGACAGCTCAACGCACACGTCGAGGGCGAGGGTCCGCGCTACGTTCCCCCCCTGAGCCGTCGCCGCCTACAAACCAGCTGAGTTGCAACCTGAACGTTAACCCCCCATCTGGCCATTTTCCTTCTTGAAAAGTGCTCTCTTCTGGTAAGGGTGTGTCCTCTGGCCTCGCAACCAAAAGCCAGGGTACGTTTTGAGCTCCTACTTCCGCCTACTCATAACCATCCTTCGTCTTCCAGTCCGGGAATGCCTCCATTGCAGGGGCATTCCCAAAGTTGATTGTAAAGTGCTGCATTTGGCACTCCGCACCTCGGGCACACCGCGGCGCTTAGCACCGCAGCTTCATACCTACAATGGTTGGGCCACAAGGCCCTTTGGGCTACCATTTTTCCATACAACAAAAACAAAAACAAAACAACAAAAACAGACAAACAAAAAATGAAATGGGCCCAAGTCACATTCAAATCAACCCCGAACTCAACTCCAGAACCCGCAAGGTGCTGACTGCCTTGGACCCATATGTTCCTCCAGGGAGGTTTTTGTTTTCGCGACCCGCATTCCAGCCCCTATGGGGCGGCCCTCTCCGAGGGCAGGCGCATGGGACACGCAGTCCCAGCGACCAGGTGCGCTGGACATGCTTCGCGTCAACGTGGAAAATAAGACAGAGAGAACTGCGTTCAGACAGGCATGACATAAACTGCACACTATAAGGAAGGAGAAAGAAGGAGAAGGAAGGAGGGGGGAAGGAGGAGGGGGAGGACGGGAGGCATGGCTAGGCTCACCTTGTGACGAACCCTTCTTCGAGCGACTTCCACATAGCCTCCTGCGTCGCACGCGCATGCCATGAATAACCAATGTCCTGCGAAAGCATGCACACCCGGATGTCATTGTCCCACCTTCTTTTTGGTCTGCCAGCCGAACGACAGGCAGTCTTGCTAGTTCGCGTCGGCCCCCATTCCATTGCGTGTGAAGCCCATCGATGTTTTTCCATACTTGCAACTCTGCATACCCACTGCCATTTGCGCCGTCTCTGTTGGTGCGCCCAAGATTCCACGCTGGATGCCTGCAACTGGACTTCAACAACCTGCGTCGCTCTCTTAATAAAATCCGGCCAGGATTCCATCCGCGCGGCCCTAGAAGTATCTGAAGACACAGACACACTTTCTGACATGGGGTCGCTGTCAATGTCTGCGCAGCTGGAACCCGAAGAATGCGCATCATAATGTGCCCGGGCTATCACTCTCCGCCTTGTTCCCCGAATTTGCCTAAGCATTCGCCGCTGCACACATGCGATTCGATGTTCCGCCTTGCGCATCACAGGCCAAACTTCGCCTCCACATAGCATTGCAGGTGTCACCGTCCCGTTGAACAAACGAATGCGGCCCCG